TCAGAGTTACATAGTATAGAGGTCTAGAAATAGATAGTTAGATATTAGTAGCTGAAATATATATAAAGTATGTAAAAGGAACTTTTTAGAGGCAGATTTGAACTTATCTTCTAATAAAAGTCAATATTCTCTCAGCAATTCGATTACAACATACCTAAAATTATAAAGAAAAAATTAAAAATACTTACTTATAATCCGAGACATTCGAAAGAAGTTACCATTTATATTGTCACTATATTTTTCAGTAACCTTAGAAATATCATCAACTTCTTGTCTGAAAAATTCCTCAAAGCAACTGAATTTATCAACCATCGTAATAAGTGCTGCCATAACACACTCCAGATGCATTTTAGCACCCTCAATTTGTGTTAATTGGGTTTCTGTAAGTTTTGCTTTATCGCCAAATTGAACACTAGTAATTGAAGTACCTATCATGGAACCGGCAGAAGCCACACCAAGAGCACCAACAACAGCCAAAGACGCGCCGGCTGTAAATGGAGCCGCACATATTGCAATACCAGTTCCAATCCCAGTACCAACAGCCGCAATCATATGTTGGAATTGTTCCTTCTTAGCTTCTTGTACATCTTGTTCCAGTTTTTTTTCTACAATACCTAAGTCTTCAAGCTCATTTAAGACATTTTTCAATGAAGCTAAAGTAATTTATTAAATAATTAAAATAAGAAAAAAAAAAACTCTCGTTACATGAATGATGTTTCTTACCCATTATGTCGCAATAACCCTTTGTTAATTTTGCAGCGTTACTTCTGTTGGAAGAGGCTGCTTGGATTTGTGATTTCATTGCCTCAACAAAATCATTTCCTGAGACATCTTCATCAAACAACACCTGAACATATCTTTCATTTTATTTTTAAAAAAAGGTTAGTAATCGAACATATAATATGAGACATAGTTGTTACGATCTTATTAAACATACTCCATAAAATCTGACGCATATGCCGCCATTTTCCCGCAGTGATTTATGCTGTCTTGCGTTAATGATCTGAATTGACGTGCGAGTTCTACGATATTCTTTATATGTTTAGGGATAATCGTATCTTTTACGTTATCGTTTGCACATTGTTCCAAATGAATCAAAGCAGTTTCAACTGCTTGTTCAAGACCGTCATTATCTGGAATTGGGGGGCTTCTAAAGTCATGAACGTTAATGCTTGCATTACTAGAAGGGCTAAGTTCAGCACTTTGCTGCATTCAGAAAAAAAAAATGTTAACATGGATTGTTGCAGAATGGATTTCCGAAACGGTTTACTTACAGTCATATTTACAAATTTACAAAATTTTTAATTTTTACGTTTAGATAATACGTGATCTTTTATATTTATCAGCCTCTTTGTTTGGTAAAAAAAAATCGGAGTTTAAAATGATCGTGGCAGGAACCAGGCAGTGTGTTTCAGAATATGTACTACCTTAAGATTTTTTCTGCGTCACGAATGAGTTGATTTTCTTTGTTAAATTTCCATAACAAGCCCATATTAGAAACGTGACCAATAACAATAATCGTTATCCAATAACATTTTTACATAACTGATATTATGCAGAATGCACGTCATTAAGTAACGGAAATAACATTTCACATGTTGATACCGATACTTAAAGTATCTTAAAGTGTCTATAAATGGGCAAATCCCGCGTAGAAATTCTGCGTTTTGCAAATACAATATAACGTTTCTTACATTATTAAAAACTTTAAAATATTCAAAAAAATCCACTGCTAATGAAGGTTTATATTTTAATAAACAAGAATTTAATAGCGTCTTTTCATGTAGTTTTAAACTAGAAGCTCCCACAGCCCGGTCTGATCTGCCGGACCTAACAACGTATATTGTGCCTTAAATGTCAATTATTGATTGGCACCGCAGATTTATTTCCTTCGTTGCGGTACCTGAGGCATTGAGGACGTACATTATCAGATTATACCAATAGGAATATGGGTCATTATATATATGTTTTGTATGATTATATATATGTCATTCTTAGATTCACAGTATAAATTTAGTCTTTTAAACTGCCGTGAGATACAACACAAAAGGATTCATTTATCCGTTGCATATCTAAATTTAACGAATTTCTGAATATCCGGATTACCGATTTATTTGTTTACCAGCTTTTTATTAAGTTTCAAAATTTTATTATTACGTATACGTAAGTTATTTTATTACGTATAATAAATACATTTTTAGCTAAATTTCTAATATATATATATATATATATATATATTAAAATTTTGATCTCAACGTGTCGGTTCTTTTATATCTGTCTACTGTACATAATATTCAAGAGGGTCTAACTTATATCGTGAGTATAAATGGAGATTCGTTTAGTTCACACCGAAAGTTAACACCAAAAATATGAAATAAAAAAGGCATTGATCGATTAATAAAAATCAATAAACGGCAAATCTTTTCTCTGTTTTTCATTGCTGAGTGATTCCTCGTGAAATTTTGATATATAATACGATCAGCCTAATTTAAACATTAAATGTTAACCCTAGAAGGCTTGGAATATACAATTTTCTCATCCTATCATTAACCATAAGGAGCTGTTATAATTATTTTTTCTATCTGATTTTCACGTTACGCCTGATGATTGGCTAAAACTCACATGACTGCCGTCTTCGTTCATCGCAGGATATTGGAGAAATCTATAAATTGCCCACCACTACAAAAAGATTATTGTAAAATAACCGTAAAAGCTTGTTGCTCATTTTCCCGATGGTCATTTCACTGAAAGGCCATTCACCTGGCATCACATAGGGTTAGGGTTAGCTCTTTTATTAGTTGTAGGTATATATTTAGTAAATTATCACCTCTTGTGATGTCAGGTAAACGGAAACGGCCATCGGGAAAATTGTAGAATGGGATCCAGATAATTACATATCACTTAGATAGAGGTTAAGCCCGTCACCAAATGATGAATTAGATTTAAACATTTTTTACAAATTTTACAATGGATAAGTGTCATTTCCCATTTACCTGATTATCATCGGGAATATTAGATCTGAGATAATTTTTAAAAGTGCAGATTCCGATAGAATTTTTTAAATCAGATCTGCAAAAATATACCAAACAAGTTTTAAAAGTTTTAATGTAATCAATTAACCCTTGCATATTCTTATCTTAATTATGCACGATAATGCATAATCATGCACAAATATGCATAATTATACAAGGGTAATTGATCTTTTAATTTGATTGTAATTGTTTTCACAGGTCGAAATAAGGCAAATCAGTCCTGAAATAAACCCGATTTGAAACAGATATTTGGCGCAAATAAGATATCTATTAGCATTTACCACTCCGTATAGCTCGGAACCAATAAAATAATGAAGATCTTTGTGTAACAAAAACAAAGAAAAAAAACTAAAACCCTGTAGCTAATGCAAAATTTTATTATAATAACCTGCTTTCAGGTTCTAAGTAAAACTTTTCAAACCAAAATTTTATATATAAAATTATTGTTTTATACAAAAAATAAATAAAAAATAACTGTAATATTGAATTATTTAAATTTTGATCAGAAGTTTAGATTTGCAGAACATAAGAGTAATCTAGCCCAATAAGTAAATCAATAGAGCTTATCTTATAGCTCTATTCATATGGGCAAATATGCAGAATCATGTGGATATATGCAACTGTGAACATAGTATTACAAAAATTTTTATAGAAGTTGACATTATGCTTGTTATAAAAATTAATATGCTATATCAAAATACATAAATGCTCATTCACAGTTACTATTCTTTTTACCTATATTACATGTTGATACATTTACAATAGCTAACCCAGTTGATATAAAACTTTTTGCATTTATAGTTTTGATCTTATTTAGTAATGCCACCAAAATTGATTTTTAAAAAAGGCTTATTTCATCTTCATTAAAACAAATTAAAATTTTTTTTTTTTTTTTTATAAGATTAGGATTTTATAGCCTAGTAGTCTAGACATCTAACTAGGGTTTGGGGCATGGGGTAAAAATTAGGCATGCTCATATGGGCATGCCTTGAGCTGAGGCATGCCCTCTATGCCTATGGGCATGCCCCTTTATGCTCATGTGGCGATCAACTGTCAATAAACCAATCATATATCTCGAATCACATAATTCTGCAGTAGAAACTTTAGTAATATAGTACTCTATACTTGAACTTGTACCTTCTTTCTTCCTTTTGCAGATTTGCTTCGCTGGAAAATCATACACTTACTCACCAACCTGGGAACTGATATTTACTATGGTTATCCAGAATAATTATGCTTACCTGGTTGACCCATAAATGTTTATAATACAGTTCTATTTTTTTCATGTGACTTTTCTTTAGTTAAAAATTGGTTTATATTTAAAACAGAATTTTTTTTTACTAAACAAATCGATCTTTGTCAGTAAGTATGATTATTTGAAATGTTATTTTCATTTACTCAAATTTTGGCGCAATATGGATAACTTCTTATTACGGCC